TTTTTTTTTGCCTACGAACGAACGAATGAGTGTTCGTTCATTTTCGTAGCCAACACTACTGCAACCGATCGATTTTTGGATGAAACAAAAATGGCAAACATGTTATTTTTTCATGTGTTTCTCCAAACCGGTTGGTGTATCTCGATGCAATATATTTAAAGATTGAGCGCGTCTAATACGGTGGATTTTCCATAAATATTTCGTCGTATTTTCGTAAACGTTTTGATACCCTTCTTTATAATATATGACAGCCCCAGCTTCGACCGCAAAATTGTAAATAAATAATAAATATATATTTATATAATAAGTTTATATTTTTAAATTTGCGTTAAAATTTGTTTCATGCGTACATAACGTGAAAAATATTTATTTTTTATGGATTCCTAAAATTAGGATAATTTAAAATTGACGTCAAAGAAGTAACGCTTGATATGATACACGTGAACTTTTACATATTTTGTATAATATATCACTACATATTTTCAGTAACATTTCAACTTCTGTTCTGATAATTTTACTTTGTGTACAATTGTACATAGCGGGATAAATATTTACTTTTTCTGGATTCATAAAAATACGATATTTAGAAATTGACGTCAACCAATACTAAAACGTGCAAACGATTTTATTTTTCTCTAATAAGTGAAGACGTTCGACGTGAAAAAATAACGTTTGAAATGATACACGTGTACTTTTACATATTTTGTTTCTAAAAATTGTATAAATACTGTCGCATCGCTGCATATTTCCAGTAACATTTCAACTTCTGTTCTGATACGTCGTTAACTGAAAAAATGAAGCAATTTTTATTTTTGACACTTTTCTTATTTTTGGCCTTTGATAGTGTAAGTATTGACGATTCACTATATAAAAACTTCATATAAATTAAATTACAAATTAATATGAATTCAAATTTATATTTTGTTTTATTTTACCTCATTTTTTTACCATTAGGTTTTCATCAAAGAGGCTATGGGTCAAACTACTTATCAGGAAGTAATTTTGACTTTTCATTGGAACTCTCAAGGAGACAATTGGGTCTCTAGACTGGAACCTGTGTTCTCATTCTGTCCAGATTTTGCCACTACCGCTAATGAAATTTTAGATTCATTGACTGGTCTCACTCACGATCAAGATGTACTCGCGCTGCGCGATGCTTTAAAGAAACTTCCAGAAGTTACAGATTTCCTTCCAAATAGTATCCAAACTGCATTCAATAATTGGGAACAAAACGGCTGCAATGTAATACCAGCAACTGAAAGTTATCTTAATAATAAGTACGAAACATTGAGAAGAATTTATGTCAATTTTAAAACTGAATTTGAAAATGCAATAATTAACGTGAGATTAAAGGCGCAGAATTATTCAAGGAATTTTAATGAAGTTAAAAGTAGGCTTCAAGTGGCCAAAAAAGCAGTGGATCGGTACAGCTTACGCCGTGATAAGTGGGTATATTTTTTAATGGGCCTTGAATCGTCCCTATAATTATTTAGAGGTGAGCTATAAGAGCTCGATAATCTTAGGGAAAAGCCCAAATATATCTGAGGTCTCTAAGAATTTAAAAAAGAATTAAAGAAATCGATTCATAAATTATATTTTCTATTGAAAAAATTGTACTTCCAACTCAAACCACAATAAATAATTTCATGAAATTGTAATTTTTC